TCAATTTGCCCAAAAAATACGCGGTGCCATGAAATCACTGTGACTTTATTCCTGGTATTCCGGAAGTTTTTTTTTTTTTCCAACGAAGTTTATCTTGATATTTTCAAGCAATGCGACGTATTTTACTGATGTGAGAAGTCTGGGGAACTCAAAGAGTACTCGTGCTATTATTTGATTGGATGATGTAAATATAAAGATTAACGAGCTCTTCAACGAAGATTTGCTAAGATCGAGACTTGAGTTTCGGCCTCGAACATTGTCACTTATTTCACAAGAATTTGTGAGCACGGATATTCACCTACGTACATTGTTATCACGTTCTGTTCAGATGTTTATATGTGACCATTCTTCCATTTTTTTTTCTCTCTCTTAGCGTGTAGGCCATTTTGATCCTGTGACAAGAACAGATTTGAAACAAGAACAGTTGACTCCAAACCTCGTTATGAAAGAGGTCATTGATGCGTTTATCACAGATAACGAATGGGTAGTGGAAGAATATTAAAGCAGAATTCATTGAACCATGTAAATATTCAAGAAATCCCTTCAACACAGTTATTTTGATAATAAAGAGCGTTTAGCGGCAAAGTAAATTGAAGCTTAGGAGGGAGCTTATGGTAAATCGTAGAACTATTTATAAAGTTATTAGTTGTTTTATAGCTTTTTCTTTTTATCATAGAGTCAATAAAGCAGGCGAAGGTTTGTCCGTTCTGTTCATGCTCATTTATTCCAATTGCCAGCAACTAAGCCGTCATCGGTAACGCAGCAGGACGAGTGTTCCTCTGCCCAGGGGAAGATCTGAAATGAGTTGGGAGAAGTCTATTAAAGAGGAGGCACTGATAATTATCCTCTCGCTGTCTAGCGTCACTCAAGGGGTCAAGCTTTTTCGCGGGCAGAGAAACAGTCGTACTGAAGCGCTCATAATGAGGGCCTTCTAGCAGGGTATTGTTTTATCGGTAGCACTACCCTCATAAAACCTTGGTAGATGTTGACACAGAATTGGGGGATGCCCCTGAGAAACTCAGTCAGAACAGACATGGACTATTATTGATAAATGACTACGATTCATTCCAGCCTGACTGCGCATTTGACCACGAATGCTCTACTCTCACAATCTGTGAGAGTAACGAACATTGTAAAGTTGTGTCAACAGTATAATTACCTTATCGTGAATTAGGCATCTAGTTAGCCAGACGCAGACATTTAAAAGAAGGGAGGCCTCGATCCAAACCTCCTCATTTTCTTACTCTGCGCAGTCTCCCGCACCGGTTAATTATATATAATAATAAACAGTTATTGGATGAGGTTTTTGTGATATCCGGAATAATCACGGGCGAGGTAAGTGTTATCAGCCGAATCCGAAGGCTGAGGCTGATAACACTAACCGAGACCTTGATTATTCCGGATATCACAAAAACCTCGTCCAATAATTGTTTTATTTACATTGTTTAAAAGAAAATAACGTCAAGCGCATTATCGCAGCGAACGCAGTTATTTTCGAGCACTTAAAAATGTACAACTGTGTGGTAAACAAATTTTCACCGTTTTTATAACACAATCAAGTGCAGAAAAGTTAAATGCATTTCTAAAGAAAGTATCATTGAAGAAAACTGTCGATCTTTTAGTATTTTCCGAATCTTTATCTTTAAGTAATTTCTCAATTTCTCGCTGGGTCAATGAAGCGAATCGAGAAGCTATTCTTACTTAGTTGTCCGTGAACTTGACATTGCTCCACCGGAAATCATACATAGCGCACGCAACCTACAGATTATTCAGTTATCTGTAGGTTCAGATTAGTGAATAATCTGTAGGTTGCGCTGTTTCCCAGAATTAACTGTGGGCGTTTAGCCAATGAGAAGACAGATAGTGACTACAATGTATAATAATATACGTTACTTGTGGCTTCCCCATAGGGGCTTTTCAGCCGTAATGTAGATTAACTAAGTAGGAGGCACACCAGTGGGATATTTACAGAGCGCAGCCGAAGAGTTGAACTGGGGGCAACTAAGAATAAACCCAGTGAGTGGCAAGGTGAAGGACTTGAACCCGGGACCCTGACCACTCGGCCACGCCGCCTCCTACCAACTGAATGCCTTGAACAGGTTACAATTAACTTGAGGTATAAACTGCACGCATCCTTTCGGTCCTCAACTCTTCTAAATTCAAAACCCCTATTTTAGTTTTAAATGATATAAGTTTTACAGCAAATACTGATTGATATTTACTGATTTGTGAAAAGAAAATGTAATTGATGCAATCATTCGTTGTTTTGATTTAAAAGATTTCTTTTCGACCACGAAACAGACCGCACACGTGCCAGCGAAAAAGCGTGGAAAAGCGTGCTCTAAAGAAGAGTGCTACGAAGGGTTCGTTAACTCCATCCCTTTCTTTTCTTTCCCACGCCTTCCTTCTAAAAATATTACGTCCTCTCTAAATCAGATCTGGGAAACCATCCGAAGGAATTCTGGGAATAATTTAGGTAGGTTCAAGCAACTCTGGTTTAAAGTTTAATTGCCCTGTACTCCCAAGATGTGATCTTAATTTCCCCCGTCAAGTTTTCTATGCGTATCCGTATGAATTAGTTAACCCCTTCACACTCATGATCCTATTAGTAATTCTCCTGACTGTGTTCCATGCAATTCTTATGATGTCAGTTAGGAGAATGTGAAATTGGATCAACTAAATAATCCCCTAATTGATATTTTTCTTTATTCTCATCACTTGTCTGCTTGATATTGTATTGATATTGTAAGGAGAAATTCTGTCTTGGTCACTCATGGGAGTGAAAGGGTTGAAATAATTTGTTGTTATATCAAGATAATGCCCTATTGCTAATACTACATTTCCCATTTTTTTCAACGTTGTCCTTTTTTTTTGGAATACTACGCTAGGACTAACTTACACGTGCGTCACTGCTAAGTTGAAGGGTGGGAATGGACACTTCAGCTACTTTTGCGCCCTTTGCACGCTGCACGTGTCTATCAAATGCAACTGACTGATCATGAGAAGCATGCGCTCGTTTGATAAAGCAGTCTGCTCAAACTCCCTTTCCAAATTATCAGTTCTTGGCACCTCATCCTTGACGTGGCCTTGTTCGTT